CTCAGACGAGAAATTTTACGATTGAGCTAAAACAGCTTCAAGAATGGAAACAAAACAAAACTATGAAAGATGTACGGCTACGGAGGTTTATGGGGAGATTACAGAAGAGCATCAAGTAAGTTGATTATGAATGTTTATGGCAAATCGCCCTATATGGAAGAGAAATTTTAATGCAAACCATTTTAGAGCTCTTGCCGATATGTTAGCGATGGACGGATGCGAATCAAAGCCTTGCCAGTACGGTGGCACCTGTCTTCCACGATTTGGCAAGAAGTATAATTGCCTCTGTCCGCCTTACCGTACGGTTCGTTATGTGTTGTTGAGGATATCCAGAACCTAGAACATATTTCCTCTTAAGGAAAATGTAATTAAGGATTTTGAATTTTTATCAAATAATGGTGGCCGACTTTTTGACTAGATTATTCTCTGAATTTAGACGAATAATTTGCCGTGGTGAACGAGAAAATCGAAACTCAGGCGTTTAACAATTTCTTCCTCCGCATTGCCTGTGTTTAGTTACTCTCAAAGCATTGCTATCTAGCAAAAAGACATGCGATTGTTTCGGGACCGAAAGCCAAAAGCTTGAAATCGCGCCGTTGCCACTCCTTGATTCGCAGTAATTAAGTTGATACTCTTATTATACACGTTGAAATGGTCTAGAAGGGGAGAAGAATCCCAAAGTCGGAATTTTACTCGGACAGTGCCTTTAATTTTCTGTCTGGGTTATAGCCACGTTACCGAACTCTAAACGTAGATTGTTTCTTCTTGCCTCATTCAACACTACTACCTATAATTACAGGGTGACAACTGTGAGATTGATGTTGATGAGTGTGCTATGTACTCGGGAACGCATGCTGGTTGTCAGCATAATGGAACATGCGTCAATCATGACACTGGTTTTCGGTAGGTTAGCTTCTGTAATTGTAATTTTTTTTAGTTATCAGAACGTTGCATTTGAGTAAGGGTATCATTGCAAAGGTTTTCCAAGCGGGAACATGTTTTTCCAGATGTGAATGCCGTTCCGGTTATCATGGTCCCTTATGCCAGTATAGACAGTCGACTTGTTCAAGATCAATTGAACTTTGCGGTCCACACGGGCACTGCATTGATGTAGATACTTCGGAGAATGAAGTAGGCTTATGTTAACTTCAGTTGAATTTTGTTGAGAACAGTCTACATTTATTGCTGCTACTGAGCTGTAGAAGTTTTGTACATTAGCTTGTATTGAAGAATGCGAGCGCTGATTTCGTGGATTTTTGTGAAATGAAAATGTCGAAATCTCAATCCTTGTTTCTCCATTGATGCTCTCAGCTGCTTCACAAATGTTTAGCAAAACATGATGTTTCAGGCTTCATACAAATGCATCTGCGATTGGGGATATAAAGTTTCGGATGATAAGCAGAATCCAACTTGTGAGGATGTGAACGAATGCTTGGACAATCCTTGCCATCCTGGAGTAGACTGCATCAATCTACCAGGCAAATTCCAATGCACTGGATGTCCTAAAGGCTACCATGGTAAGGTCATTTTTTATCAAATTATTTCTATCTGTTATAATCGTATGTGATTTATAGGCAACGGTCAGATCTGCGCTGACATCGATGAATGTGCTGCTGAAACATATCCATGCTCGACAAATCCTCGCGTACCATGCTTCAACACCATTGGCTCATTTCACTGTGGAAATTGTCCACCTGGTAAAGTTCATTCCTGATAATCAGTTCTGTTCTGAATTTTGAATGTCAGGCTATCGCGGCGATGGTCGCACATGCCAAAGGACATCTGCTTGTGATGATGCACCTTGCTATCCTGGCGCAACTTGCGTTGAAGATCCGTCTACTCTCAATGTTGGAGGCTACACCTGTCATTGTCCTGCGGGAATGATGGGTGATGGAATAGGTAACCTTATCTCTGAAGAGACGAGGGAGTTTATATTGAGTTACTGTGGGCTAATCATAGGTGCGAACGGCTGTCAGAAAAGCAATTCAACGATTTGTCGGACTGAAGGGCATTGCCTCAATGGAGGAACTTGCAAGGTGAGCGCTAGGTATACGGTAGTACTTGCGTTCTACTTAAAAACACTCATTGACGTGATCTATAAAATTTGAAAACTAGAAGTTTTTCTGGAGCTTTCAAACTAATATTTCAGCCGATATCGGCCACAGAATATCGCTGTGCTTGTCCGGAGTTCTACTATGGACTACACTGCGAACAGGTGATTTTTCCTCTGAGGCCAAAGAATCTCCGAAAAATTTTTCGGCAAACTTTTATTATACACCCTTTACCTGTTGTTCAAGCTCTACTGTAGGTATCTGCCTGTATTGGCTCACCTTGTGAAAATGGCGGCATTTGCCAAGATGCTGGTGTTGGGAAAGTAAACTGTATTTGCCCTATAGGATTCTATGGGTCTCTTTGTCAATTTGAAGAAAACAGTAAGTATTATCCTGGATAGAAAATCCAGAGCGTTTGTAAAAGATGTTGGATTTCAGGTTGTGGAGCACATTACACGGAACCATCGGGAAATTTAACCTTCTCTACAGAAACGGATAGTGTGGCTGAGGATGGATGCGATTTTGTGATAGCTGCTACAGAAGAGAATTCGGTAAAATTTTTTTGATCCCCTCAGCGAAATCAAGCTTGCTATTATACAAATATAGCATTAATAGAATGTATGATGCTACATATCCATTGCAGTATCCGCTACTAGAAATTATTTGCTGCAACTTCAGGCATCCTTGAAAGCTTTTTCAATATAAGTTTCTCTACTGAGAGCTTGTCACTTTAATTCAGATTCTTAATGCTCGATTACTCTGTTTTTCTCTCAGTTTCTTCAGTGTAATATGTGGCATTTTTGAAACTTCTATCTCTTTTCCTCCTTTTAGGTTCTCCAGATCACATTCGAGACATTCAAGGGCATGAGCAACACAGACTCAGCTGCTCCAGACTGCTCCAAAATGCCTGCTAACTTGACCCTATTTGATGGCGTTAGTGATAATGCCCAAGTTTTTGCGACATTCTGTGGCGACATCGGTGGCGGAAAGGTATTCGCTGAAAGATACTGTATTTTCTTATCTTCTTCGACGTCTCCGTTTCTTAGGCGCCTGTGATTGGAGAACCGATAACGATGACAACAACAAATGCACTGCTTCGTTTCAAAGGAACGCGAGGATCGTTTTCACTCAGATGGTCGACGAAAAAAAGAGGTTTGCGGTAAAGCGACGTGTAATATAGAAACACATAGCGTTTTGTTCCAGAATGCGGTTACCGTACGAATTTGGCTACCGGAGTACTTGTCGTCCCACCTCATCATCTGGATACTGCATGCGATTGGTTCATTTCGGCGCCAATGGAGAAACATATTGAG